ACCTGATGGAGCTCCTGCAAGAGGCGAAAGTGACGATGAACGGGCATTTCACGTTACTCTGCGACAATCAGAGCGCGATAAAGATCGCGAACAAGCCCGGCTTCGTCAACCGCACCAAGCACATCGGCCTTCGCTACTTCTTCGTGAAGGACGAAATCGACAAAGGGAGAGTCAAGCTGACTTACTGCCCGACCGGTGACATGGCAGCCGACTTCCTGACGAAGAAACTGCCACGTCAGCAGTACCAGCACTGCGCCAACCTCTGTGGGATCACCAAGAAATCCCACGTGGCCCACCTTCTGGAATGAAGGGGAGTGTTGGAATAACCGAAAGGTTATAAAGGCATTCCCGAAGTTGCTCCACTGTACTAGTACCGCATTAGCTCATATAGAGCACGCGGAATCTCGAGGGTCACCCGAAGGTCAACCGTCCAAGATAGTCAACGGTCGTGACCCTTGACGATCCAGTAACCGCGCGACAGTTAACAGACTGCAACACGGTAACTGTCGAGAATAGCAATAGTCGTGGTTACTGTAGCTATGTAATGCAGTTAATAAGGGAATGTACCCCTCAGAGTATATGGCTAGATAGTTCACTATTTAATTTCTTGTACTCCTACTTTCTAATCATCTTGTTCTCTTTCAACCTTTTCTTAACAAGGTCACTACAAAGACTTCACTGTCTCCTCTCAGGCTTAACACGTTCTATCCTATCCACTGATCCTTTGGTTGTATCAGCAGTCTCGTTGAAAATATGTTCACGGTTTTTTCCGTAGACACTTATTCTGTAATATATATGAACATGAAATTCAGTATTAACTCAATCTTCAAATAGCAGTATTGTCTGCAGCAACTAGATTATATGACATTTTACTTTTTCTAACTTGATCTTGAATAATTTTGGGACGACGATAGTGAATTCTCTCGGTTATGGAACGCGTCCTGATCATCTTGATGTCGTTCTTGACCATCTTCCCCACGCGGCCTCGCAATGCTCAACTTCAGAACAATCGAACAAATTGTCCTTATGATTCATTGGCAGAACCCCAAGGGTATAGTAGTGGGAACTTGCTATGGAGCCGACACGTAAGAGCAGCAGAATTCCATTCCGCCGCCATGGACTGTCTGAACGGTGGTGAGAGGCGAGGCGAGCTCTCGGTGACATAGACCCATCAAGCCCTTTCTACGAAAAACCATTTTCTGGAGCTCAGTGCAAAGCCGTTCGCACCAAAAGTCCCTCAGCGAATCAGCAGAGTTATTTGCCAAGGTTTCTGGCCTAAGCCAGACTTGTCACATCTACAACCCAGACCCACCCTCTACCTCTCATTCACACACGCCCCACTTTTGCATTTGCAGTATGGGTTACGAGCGCAGTCCACACATCTGGTCCCCTCATTAGCTGGCACTTGGCATTTATTGACACACTCCCCTCTGTAACATCTGCATGGCCCCCCACTGTCGCACCCGTCGAAGCATTCGCCTCCCTCGGCATTGGGTAGTTGACACTGCGGTTTGCACTGGCCAGCCGAACATAAGCAGACTTGGCTGCAATCACATACACAAACGGCAAGACAGGACAGTCAGAGGATGAATGCTGAGCGAGTAAGAGCAGAATGATGGTGAGTTGAGTCAACATCTTTGCCCTTCCTCCCATTCAACGCATCTTTTCCCCTCTCCCACACACCTAGAGGTCGCCTCTCACCTCGTGCAGTTGTAACTGCATTGCAGCCCGTCGCTTCCCGCCACTCCACACCGCGGCACGCACTTCCCGCCAACGCACGTCCCCTGCTGCGAAAACATCTCCCCGCAGGCAGCTCCCTCGTTAGAAGGCAACTCGCAAAACGGTCTACACCGCCCTTTCGTACACCTGCACCCGTTCGTGTTATCCGCGCACGCCGCTCCACCGCTACACACCGCGCCTTCCGCCAGCCCCCCGTTACAAGGCTCCACGCACTTCCCTTTACCACCACATCTACACCCCGGCGCAGTCACCACGTTAATATTGTTAACGGGGTAATAATACGCGTTAGGACACGAGGTGCAGGGGTACGCGTTCGACGAGTTGAGAACGAGCGGCACGGGAGAAGGTCCCGTGCACGAGAGGTCGGGCTCGCACTTTCCCGACGAGCCGCAGACGCACGAGCCGCCTTTCGTCGTGTTGCACGTGCGGCAAACGGTCCCGGGCTCTGTCGCGAAAGGGAAGAAAGGGAAGCACGAAGAATGGCGATGAGTTTTCGCACGGATCCTTGCCTTCGAGGAAGCGTCTGCAGGAGTTTGCACGGATCCATCTCTCATGCACAAAAATCGCTAGAATTTGCAAGTAATTGCTAAAATTTCCACTTGTCGCTTGGAGTAACCATGATTGTAACGTGCGCTAAGTGGCATGGCGCAGAACCGCTTCCCTAAGGCACCTGGAAACGAACGGACACTCACTGGCGATGGCGCAGATGTCGTAGCACAGCCCCGCGCGGCAGAGACACGTACTTGTGACGGCTCATGATTCTAATGGCGTGCACTCGCTGGCTTTCAGTGTATGCGTTCAGTGACGTGCACTCACTGGCAATGGCGCAGATGTCGTAGCACAGCCCCGCGCGGCAGTAGCCCTCGCCGGAGGCGGAGTTGGAGCATTTAAAGCCGTCCTTCTCGTTGCAAAACGGCACGCACTTGCCCTTGGACGGCGAACACACGCACCCGTCCTTCCCCGCCTTGGGCCTGCCGAAGAGAGATACCGAATGAGAAGGAAGGGAGAATATGAGAAAGATAAGGAGCCTTGATTGAGCTGAAAGCGGGCAAGACGAAAGCAAAAGGCAAGGAATCACATACGGGCATCCGACGGTGCAGGTCCGATTTGACTTACGAGCATCCGACGGTGCAGGGCGCGCCTCGGACGAGCGCCGACATGGGATTGGCAGTGCTGCACGCGTCGACGCACTGGCCGCGCCCGCACACGCACCCGTTGCCCGTCGCGTTCTTGCACCCCACGCACGGCGTCACGCCGTTGTTGTTCTCCGGGAGCGCGCAGAAATCCACGCACTGCTGGCTGCCGTTGATATCGCACGCGCACCGCGCGTTCGGCACGCCGAGGCGCTTACTCGGGCACGTGTTGCACGCGCGCCTCCACGTGGGTGACTTGTAGTCGACGCCTGGAACGTAGCTGCAGGTCGGCCGGCACACGCCGAACGAGTCGCAGATACAGCCGCCGGCCTTGGTGCAGTTGGTGCAACGCGCGCCGACTGTGAACGGTGCGGAGCAGGTCCCCAGCGGGGGAGGCGGCGGAGGCGGGGAAGGGGGAGGGGGAGGAGTCGGGGGAGGGGAAGGCGGAGGAGAGGGGGGGGTGGGAGGTGGAGAGAGCGGCGGTGAGGGCGGAGGGGACAAAGGGGGCGAAGGAGGAGGGGAGAGCGGAGGTGAGGGGGGGGTGGTGGGGGGTGGGAGGGGGGGGGTAGGAGGGGGAGGGGAGGAGTCTGGCGGAGGAGGAGAAGCAGTCGAACCCGCGGCGACAGGCGGAGGGGGAGAAACCGTCGCAAGGGGAGGGGGAGGAGAGACGATGGGAGGAGGGGGAGGAGCGGAGACGTCCTGCAACCACCGCGCGTGGGCGGAGGCGTAAGGAAAGGCGGCTGCGACTGTGGCTTGCGAAGAGATGGTGAGGAGGAGGAGAGAGACTATGAGAGGGGCGGAGAGAGGGAGCCGCGATGAGAGTGTGATTTGCTCGCGAGGCATTGCTAGTAGAAATTGGGATTGCCGGCGGTCTAGCCGCGAGTGCGAGCATGATCTGCTCGCGAGGCCTGAAATCGACATTGAAACGATTCGCTTTTGAGAATTACAAACGCGACGAAGAAAAACTCGAGAGGGAAACGCGGTCTATGTCAACCGTTCTTTGCCAATAAGTAGCTCCTCAATGGAGCTTGGGAAAACAAAACGGAGCGCGAGGAACGCTGGATGGAAGGGCTTGTCTGGGTGCTTGAATAGGTAAGCTAAGCAGGAGAAGAGTCAGCTGGGTGCTGACTTGGGCGGAGGCGACGAGCAACGCACGACGTGTTACGGGGTGATATGAGCTTGAGTGGGAGGAGGTTTGAACGAGAAAGTTCAAATCTCAAGTCTCCCCGTGGACGGTGGTGATGAGCGAGCTTGGGACGAAAACAGACGCAATGTCGGTCGAAGGAAGGCTTTTATTTGAAAGGTGCAAGGAGGCGGATGGAGTTGGCCCGAACAGTCGGACACTGGGGGACGGCGTGGGAGGGGCAACGAGCGAAACGGTTCCACAAGGCAGGCGACGTTCGCAGACGGCTAGGGCGAGTTTCAAGGCGGGATTATGTTTGAATTTGAGAGTCCACTGCAAGAGTCCAAGTCCAGGGCTAGCTCATCGAGAGACTTTTTTTTGCAGGAGCGAGGCCGTGCGAGTAACTGGTTGAGGCTATGTCACAAGTGTTTGTTCACCCCCAACTTTTCCCCTCCACCTTCCCTCCTCTCCTCCGTCTTTCCCTGCACATTCAAATGTGGCCTGCACATTTTTGTTTGCCCTCACCCTCGGCTCGGCGCCAAATGTGTTCTCAAATTCTCAACTAAATTGGCGAACCGCGCCGCCAATACTTTCACCGCGAATCACGAGCCGCATTGGATGGCCGAAATTGGTTCTGTCGGCAGGTGGCGGGATTCGCAAATCCAGCCGTTGGCGCGCGCACAATTTGCAATGAGGGTCGCACAAGAGCTTAGTTTGTCGGCTCAAACAGCTCAGTTGACGTTCAGTGATCGTCAGAAAAGGTCGCTCGGAATTGCGATATGAGCTGCTCCGACGTCGAAAGAGTAAACAGCAACCCGGTATTAGGAATGGAGCACAGACCAGAGAGTTGACAATAAAACGAATTATGAAATGGAGCACAGACGAGACAGTTGACAATAAAACGAATTATGAAATGGAGCACAGACGAGATACATGCTAAACCAACTTTCCATCGTGTTAATCCCGTACCAACCGCCATACGTCCATCCCTTAGTACTAATAGGTTAGTCATCAGTGTGTTGGCGACATCCATTCGGTCGAAAATGATACACATTTCTCATTATTTGGTTGCACATCCCGCAAAAGCGAGTGCGACAATTCCTGCAATGCATGTCGTTATTCCTCCCTTCCTGCAAAGAAATGAAAGGTTGCAAGAAACACATAGGAACAGGGTAAGCTTTAGAGTCACATTAAATGACACCACCACCGCACCAAACACATACTAACCCAAACACAACCTTGCAGCCTGAACCGTCCTTACACTCACCTTATAGTTGAATTGACGGCAATTGGGGCAGCGTCTCGCAAGCAGCGGCCTGCCATCCGCCCCGAGGGGAGGCGCGGCTCGATGGTTGTGGCGCTGTGCTTCAGCCATGGCTGCCATTTGCATCTCCCATTGCTCTATCTCTGCTGCCTCAAACAACACACACTTGCCCTCCCTGATGGTGCAAGTTTGCGAGGGGAAAATAGGCAAACAAAGAGCATGAGGGTATGTGACTTTGCATCTCCCACTGCTCTGTCCCCGCTGCCTCAAACAACACACACTTGCCCTCCCTGATGGTGCAAGGTTGCAAGGGCAAAGTAGGGGGAAAGAGAGCACGAGGGATCATGATTCGAACCTCCCAGTGCTCTATTCCCGCTGGCTCAAACAACACACACGTGCTGTTGCTGGTGATGCAAAGTTGCAAGAGAAGGATTGGGAAAGGAGAGGAAGCAGGGGACGGAGGATTGGAATGTTGGGTGTTGGCTAGCTGGGCAATGGGAAAGGGGATGCTTGGGTGCATGAAGCTGTACCAATACATGGTCCCATGCATCCCCTTCCCCTTTCTTGAGGCGCCGCAAAAATCGTCTCAAAAAATTTGAGGCGCCTCAAAAATGGGAAAGAGGATGCTTGGGTGCATGACACTGTTCCAATACATGGGCCCATGCATCCCCTTCCCCTTTCGCAATAGGTAAAAGCGTACCAAAATTCCCCTCCCTGGTGGTGCAAGGTTTCACCAATATTCTTTCAGACTTGTACGTGAAGTAGTAACATATAAGTGGTAACACATAAAGTGGTTACACAAGTGGTAACATACATGAAGTGGTCGTAACCATCGATGCGCTCGTGGCAGCGGTAGCAGAAGAAGGTGTTGCAGGTGGGGCAGACCATCTTGTTGCACCCCTCGCTCTTGCTGATGGCCATGCTGCACACGGGGCACTGCACACTCGACTCCTCCACAACCCTGACCATGAGGGGGAGAGGATAGGAACAGTGTGTGGGTGAATGTGAGTGTGAGTTTGGGTGAGTGAGAGAGTGCATGACAAGGTAGGGCAGACCATCTTGTTGCACCCCTCGCTCTTGCTGATGGCCGTGCTGCACATGGGGCATGCCACACTCGACTCCTCCACAACCCTGACCAAAAAAAAGGGGGGAGAAGGCAAGCATTGCGAGGGTGAGAGTGTGAGTACAGGTGAGTGTCGCTGAGTGAGTGTGTGACAAGGTGGGGCAGAACAGCTAGTTGCAACCTCGTGCTTGCGAGGCCAAAGGTGTTGACCTGAAACTAGGAACTCAATTGAAGTTAATGACTCACTTGAGGCTAAGCACTTGTTGCTCCAGGTCCTTTTGCTTCCTCAACTCCTCCTCTGCCAGAGATCGCTCCTGCTTCCGCAGCTGAAACATGCAAGACAACAGCAAGCATAGGGAAGTGAGGAGGGGCACAGGGCAAGCCTCTCACTTGAGGCTAAGCACTTGTTGCTTCAAGTCCTTCTGCTTCCTCAACTCCTCTGCATCGCTCCTGCTTCCGCAGCTGAGGAGGAGTTGAGAAACACAGGAGGGGACAACAAGCAGAGAGAAGAAACTCCACTTTCCCATTTTTTGAAGGACGATCTTTCTAGTGAATTCCACAACCAGGTCTCTAAACCCTGAGAATTCACCCCATACTGATGCACCCACCCTCGCACCTTCATGAGTTTGAGTGCAAGCTCGGGAGTGATGCAGGTCCTGCCACGGTGAAAGCCCTCGCGGCACAACCCACAGAAGGAGAAGAAGCACCCGGGGCACAGCGCGTGGTGGTCTGAAGGGTCTTCCACTGCGGGCTGAGAGCAGCGTGGACAGAAGGCAATGTCTGGCATGGCGTCTAGGGAACGTTGAAGAGTTAGTTGCTCCCACCGGGAGAAAAGCGCAGCAGGGAGGAGTGTGCGCAGGAGATCTGTTCAATTGGAAACGAGAGGGGGGAGGGGGGGGGGGGAGAAAGGGGAGCAGTGGGATCAGCCCGGGCAGAAGGCAATGTCTGGCATGGCGTCTAGCGAGCGCTGGAGGGTTTACTGCTCCTAGCCGGAGAATAGCGCAGCAGGGAGGAGTGTGCGCAGGAGATCTGTTCAGCGAGAGAGGGAGGGGGAGGGGGGAACGGGGGAGGGGAACAAAAAGGATAGTTTGGAGGTGGGGAGAGCATGTGTGGCTTTGAAAGAGGGCACAGCACGTGGTGGGCTGATGGGTCCTCCACAGCCGGCTGGGAGCAGCGCGGGCAGAAGGCAATGTCGTCTAAGGATTGACTTTTGAGGCGCCTCAAAAGCAGAAGGCAATGACGTCTAAGGATTGACTTTTGAGGCGCCTCAAAAGCAGAAGGCAATGGCGTCTAAGGATTGTTGAAGGGTTAGTTGCTCCCAACGGGAGAATAGGTCAGCTGGGAGGAGTGTGCGCAGGAGATCTGTTTGGGGACTGAGCAGAAGGAAGGATGGGGGGTGTTCCTTTTGAGAAACTTCAAAAGGGCAGAAGGCAAAGGGAGAAGGCAGAAAGGGCAGAAGGCAAAGGGAGAAGGCAGAAAGGGCAGAGGGCAAAGGGAGAAGGCAGAAAGGGCAGAGGGCAAAGGGAGAAGGCAGAAAGGGCAGAAGGCAAAGGGAGAAGGCAGAAAGGGCAGAGGGCAAAGGGAGAAGGAAGGGAAGCGGGGATTGCGGTTGCAGCGCGTCCAGCTGGCAGCTAAAGCTGGAGAGCAAATTGCTCTCACTGAGAAAAGGGAGAGAGTTGTGTTGGGAAGACCTACCATAGGAAAGCGGAGCGTGGCACTTGGTGTCAGGGCACTCGAGCGCCTGGAGATTGCTTCCGCCACGTGCGCCTCTCGGAAGGGAGAAGAGTTTGTTGGTAGGCTTACCGTAAGAGAGAGGCGCACGGCACTTGGTATCAGGGCACTTGAGCGCCTGGAGATTGCCTTCTGTTACGTGCGCCTCTGCAAACGCCCTCATGCACGCCGTGCAGAACGCGTGTGTGCACGCGGTACGCACACACTCCGTCCCGGGCTTCTCAGAGAAGCAGATGGCGCACGCGTGGAGGGACGCTCGGAACACGCGGTCGTCCATCTCCTTGCTCCACCGCTTCAGGAGAGCTAGATCGTCCTGCAGAGACATGCCTTCGTACACTGCCCTGCAGTACCCCCCCACGCCCACACCCACACCCACACCCACACCCACACCCACCCGCGCCCGCGCCCACACCCGCTGCTGCTGGATCTTGGCATGAGCACGCCGATGCAGCAGCAGCAGCAGCTGCTGCTGCTGCTGCTGCTGATGATGATGCTTTTCCTTCTGCCACAGCTGCCGCCGCTGCTGCTGTTATCCTTCCTTCACCCACTGCCGCGTATCCCTCCCCACCCGTAAGCCTGAGGTCCTGATCAATCCCGAGGCATCCCAGCGTCTCCTCGCCAAGCCATGCTGCCCACGTGTACAGCACGACCAGGCCACACTGCTGCTGCCACGTGGCGTCCAGCTGGGCGCAGAGGCGCGCCAGCTGGGCGTGGGAGAGCCAGGAGGAGAAGAGGGCGAAGAGGGGCGGGGAGGCGGAGGGGTAGGTGTGGGGGAGGAGAGCGAGGAGGCGGAGAGGGGGGAGATGCGAGATGAGGAAGGGGCGAGGGAGAGGGGTGTGGGGAGAGGAGGCAGTGGTGGAGGAGGAGGAGGAGGAGGAGGAGGAGGAGGAGGAGGAGGAGGAGGAGGAGGAGGAGGAGGAGGAGAGGAGGAGGAGGAGGAGGAGGAGGAGGAGGAGGAAGAGGAGTAGGTTGGAAGAAGAGCTAGAGGAAGCGGAAGCAGTTGCAGAAGGAGGTGAGGGGACTACGAGCAGGGGCGAGGGCACTGTGATCCGGATGTCAATCTGAACGGGGAGGGTGCAGGGCGAAAAAGATGACACAAGGTAAAGAGAGAAAAGCAATGGGACAATGGCTTCTCACAGCACACAAAAGGACGAACTTTAGAATCCAACTGTCTCAGGAGGCAAGTAGTTGTTTTTTTTTTCAAAACATTTCTCGTGGTGGTCATTTGTATTGCTTCAGTGGAGGGTACAGACATTGGAAAAACCAGCTCTTTCCCACCATGAAACAGTTGTAAGGCGAGGTTGTGAAACTCGAGGCGGCCGCTTCTTGGGGAGCAGAGGAGGAAGTGGGTGACGAAGGGGGGGAGGAGGAGGATGCGAGCCAAATGGGCTCAAAGTCAGAGTCGAAAATGGACTGCAGAGCTTCGACCTGGTGCGGGGCATGGGCACGTGGATGTAAGGACGAATAGTTATGTGGACGAATGGATGGACGGTTATATGGATGGATGGTTAAAATGGATGGTTAAATTGATAGGCCGACAAATGGGTAGGGCGGGAAAAAGGCGGGAAGGAGCATTGCGATGTGAGGCTACGGAGGAGAGCGTGCTGTTATGGCGAAGAGGCCAGGGCCTGGTTCAACTCGTCGTCCGCTTCAGCCTCATCACACCTCTCAGCCTCATCTCACCTCTCTTAGCCTCTTCTCAACCAACCCAGCCTCATCTCACGCCCTCTCAGCCTCATCTCACGCCCTCTCAGCCTCATCTCACCCCTCCCAGCCTCGTCTCACCTCCTCTCTCTGCTCCTCCAGGCATTGCTGCTTCTCGCCTTCAGACAGGCCCTTCCCCGCCGCCTCGTCAATCTGCCTGGCTCGATCACACATGCGCCTGAGCCGCCCTTCGAATCCCATCGCTGGCATTTTCTGGCCGCCAGCGTTAAAATTGGTAACAGTTGGCGGAGGAGCAGCGAGTGTTCGCGTGCTCATAATTGCCTTATTGCACAAGGCGATAGCTTGCGAACTCTAAAACGTCCCAAAACTCGATTATCGTACGACTCGATCAATAATAAAATGGAGATGTAAGGGAAAGCGATGAAATTAAGAGTACATGTACACGGAGGGGCAGTGTTCTCCACTTGAAAGAGTCTCTGAAGTGAATGAGGTCGTCAACACGAGTTGACGGATTCCGTACTGTCCATCCACGTTGGCATCGTGGCTAAATGTCTTTAAGTCAACTCACGAGTCGACTTGACAAATTCTGCAGTTTGACGATTTCTGGACGCTACAAATCCATGGCTTCGCGATTCTTCGTCATGTTACGAAAACGTCGCTCTTACTCGGGAACTTCTGTCAAACGGCGGTGCGACAGGCATGTTATTTGCACTTCGGGTTATTTTCTAAAAAGCACCACCCAAATCAGGAAAGATCATGTTACCAGACTGCGACCGACATTGCTGCGAACCTTATCTACAATCCTCGGTAAATGAAGACTTGATGACCATATGAAAATTAACGTTACACAAGCTATGGTAGCCTCGCCGTCAACAATCCGGCAGTCAGTAAATGGTACGTCGGCGCAGCACAGAACCAACGGGAAATGCACACTCGTAATTCGTCTCAGTGAGACCTACGAGGGAAGCGGAAGGTAAACTGATTGATAGAGGAATGCTGGACGAATTTGCTGGACGTGAAGCTTTGAAAGAGCAGACTATGGCGGACACAGCAGACCACACCACAGCCAAAGAAGCACTCAAATGTCAGGGAAACGTGTCCCACAAGAATTGGCCGTCCCAACAAGCAGTAAGCACGCTGCTGATTTGATAGAAACCTGCTAGTGCCAGAATCATCTTGGTTGAAGATTTCGGTGCTGTTCGCCAGCACCTGTGAAGCAAAAAAACGTGGGCTGCGATCTGCGGGCGCATTAGCCCGCATCAATGTACATTGCAATTTTTTTTCAACGTTCCAGGAGCCTTCTTTGATAACCAGCACGAAGGTTATCAAGGCTCGCAATAAGCTCTTGGTTGCCGAGGCGAACCATGCCCGAATGCCGCAGAACGGTCTTTTTGGCGACCACAAATTAACATGTCGCCACGTGCCGCGATATTCATCGTCCTAGCAATATTTTTTCTTTCAATTTTCCGTCGGGCAGCCCAGTTCATGCCCTTGGGGAAGGCGTCAGGTACGTGCTTCCTTGCTTCGACGAACCCAATGAATTGAGGTCGGGATTGGGAATGTCTACATTTCAAATCTCCATTTCCGGATTTCCCAAACCTCAATTTCAATTTTCCAAGCCTCTATTTAACAATTTCAAATTCCTCATTCCCGAACCTCAATTTGTCAATGTGCGGATCAGGCCGAGCCTAGGGCGCATCAGAGCTGATGCGCCCGCAGAACACAGCCATGGGATGACGACGGGATCAGGAAGGTGGGTCTCGCCTTCCTGATCCCGTCAGTTAGGGTTCGTTACGTACCTCCGTCAGCCTGGTTAGCCCGTAAAAAAGGTGCTGAGGCTCCCCTCACGTCCAAACCAACAATCAAAGTGGGTGTCTGGCGAACGCCCCCATTTGTCCACCAAATCGAACTGCTCGACGGCATATGGAAGCGGGGACGAAACTTCGTCCCCAGGCAAAATTCTATCCTCAAGCCATGGGCTGCGTTCTGTTGGCCCATAGCTTGTGCGTGACCTAACTGTGGATGTACAAGGAACTTGCGCGACAAGGCTTGGGGCCGGAGGGAATCGTTAGTGTGATCCGAACCTCTGCTGCGGAAGTTGTGCGCGCATTACTTGTGCGTGCGCAAAAACGCTGTACTGCCTGTGCGCTCGGAATATTCCAGGAGCTTGCGTTCACAAGCAAACCTCCCGTACAGCCTGTGCGAGTCCCATCTGCTCGTCTCCCAGCGTTAAAGGGGCGCACAAGCTGTGCGGGGCAGCGAAAAACGCTTGGGAAAAGTCGACTTTGGCTAGTTTCTTAACCCAACATGTTTTGAGGTGCATGCCGATTGGGTGGTTGTTTGTACCTATTTGTGTTGCGTGCCTCAAAAGTTTACCCTAGGTCAGTGATGCTGGTTTCCAAAATTTTGGGTCTGCCCCCTCGTAAACAACCTGGTGCCTACCTCACAGATACCTCGCGCCTGGGTCATTCTCTCGTGGTAATTTTAGGGGGGTGCTCTCATGCGCAAAAGCCTCCGGACGCATTACTTGTGCGTCGTGCGCGCATTACTAATGCGCCAACAGAACGCAGCCAAGACATCGCCATGCCGCGTTTTTCAAAGGACAGCGATGGCACAGCCGTCGCATTGCCATTCAGGGGAGAACCTTTGAACGAGCCATTTGTTTGACAAAGGGGGGTTCGAATACCCCCAATTTAGATGTGCCGCCCGCAAGGGGGTGAGTTGTGAGCTGTCTCTGGGTACACTGAACTAAATAATTGTCCTTATAGATTCGAGCTCAACATTAACTTGAACACATTTGTAATATAAACAAGTAATGTTTATAACAAACTGCCTTCAGGGTTCGCGTCTGAGTGTTACCAGTTCGTGTTGGTTACCTATAGCCCCAAAAAACGCACGCGCTCTAACGAGTCAGCTTTCCCCACTCGACACCCCACACGGACAAATACTTCCGTTATGTCTCGCGCTTTATTTCGTGCGCAGTTAGATCTAGAATAGCTAGGTATAGAGGAGATTACGAGCCCCGTCGTTGATCTGCAAGTAGATCTAACACCCCCTCAGCATGAAGCGCCTTAGTGCGGCGAAACAGAAGCGCATCATGCAGCTAATAGCAGCCGGGCGTAGTTATCGCCAAATCGCTAAAGAGTTGGGAGTTTCGAAAAGCGCAGTGCATGACGAGCTCCTCCGCCACCTCGGTCCGAAAACGTATAGTGAGCTAGTGCCTTTCTCAAAATAACTAGGCAAGAATGAATGAACTAGCAGAAGTTTGGGTACAAATATGAAACCCTAGTTGGGGTTGTACCCCATATTGGCTACCCCACTACAGCCTACCAACATATAACACATTACAATTTAACACACCCCCATAGGCAAAGTGGGGGAGAACAAAGGGTCACAAGACCAGTCCAGCAAAGCAACGCAAGCCCAGGGTGGATCACAACGTCACCACACTCCGAGCACAAGCAAAGGCCACAAGGCCAGTTCACATGCAGTGCTAGATATAGTACAAGACAAACAACACAGTGATCAAAACCTAGCAAGCAAGCAACAAGATATATATAAAGTACAGTACAAAGAATGTCAAGCAGTGAGCAAGTGAGGAAACGTGGACAC